GAGCATCAAGCTGTGGAAGCAAGAAAACTACTTTCAACAAAAAGAGAGAAGAATTAGTTTTCTCTTTAATAACACTTATGAATTGGTACATTTACCCATTTTTCCTTCTCCTGCCTCTGGGATATTGCAGACCCAGACCAATTTTATAACTTGAATTTGACCTGAAATCACTGTCACTGGCTCTAGAGTCCTCAGATCCAGGAGTTGCTCTGACAGGCAGTTCTGCTCTGTCATCAATTTTTAATTGGTTCTTTTTTTTTTTCTCTCACAGGCAGCTCTAGAGTAAACACAGCCTGCAACAAATTTACTTTTCAGTTTGTCAAATCATGTCTTTCATTTTCTCAGCATTTCTTCTTTTTTTATTAACAGTTCATTCAAAACATGTACACTCGTACACTCTTAACACACAAAATGATATGAAAGAACTTCTCACCGTGACACTGGCCAGGAAGTCGTTTTCGACCCAGGTAAAGAAGAATCACATCAAAATTGCGCATGGCACCAGCGCGCGCTGGTCCACACAAGACTTCCGACTCTCTGTGTTTGTTACATTTCTTATATACCCTTCCCTGACCGGATCGCGTGAGAGCAGTGAAAAACAAGTTTGATGGTTACCAGAACAACGGATGAGGAGCTGGTGATTTATTACTGTAGTGAACCTGATCTGACCTCAAATCTGATCAGATGACAGAGACTGTTATTTCATTGATCTGCATCCAGAAATACAGTTTGAGCCATCTGGGGACTTTCTTTCTTGAATTAATCAAGTAGAAAAGACAATTCTCTATGATCATTACTGTTTTACAAATGTTTGATAATCAAATTGTGTTAGTTCACTCAATGCTTACAGGTTGAAGAGAACTACTCATTTTTATTTTACATAAACAGTAAGTAATGATTTTTATTCCTCATTCAAAGAAGAAATCAGGTTAATATGCATTTCTTGATTTTTCTGTCTGCAATGAGCAAGTTTGTAAGTATGTTAAAGGTCGAGTCTCGGTCAACTAAAATGTTTACTGAGAAGAAATGTCATGTTTAAACTTTTTCAGAAGATAATAAGAGTGAGACTCCACGAAGTCTGGTTTTCTCCAATAATCTTTTCTGTATGTTGTAAACAATCTCATTCTCTGACCTCGAATTTGATAACATCTTACATCACAAACCACACCTCTATTCTGGTCCATCCACGAATCAGAAAGCTCTAAATTGACCCGGAAGTCAACTCATTTAAAATGTGGCAACTTCCCGGTTCTGCGTAGAGTCTGGTGCTGGAGAGTGCTGAGAGTGCTGAGAGTGCTGAAGAGTGATGGAGTTAAAGTGTAAGAGTGTAACAGAGTTCTAACTCATGAAGAGAGTTAAAGGATCCAGATGCAGAGACGTTTTGGGCTTATAACTTCTGTTTGAATAACCTCGTACGACTCTCTAAGGGTTTGGCAGTCCTCACGGAGACGCTGAAAGAGTCAGAAAGGAACCCTACGCCGACGCTGATTTTATCATCAACCAGGTAGAAGGTTCTATTTTCGACCAAGTGTACCGTGGGCAAGCTGAGATCTGATGGAGCGTGCACGTTTCTGGTCAAACAGATTAATTCCCTCACAAATCTCTCTGTAAGATAAATCTCCATTTCCATCTTAAACTCTCCTTTCTCTTAAAATCAGTACAGATATTTTAGAAATATCTGAAGCAAAGTCCTCGATCACCGCCGTGTGATTGAAGTCCATTATCTGTGAAACTTCTCTGTTATTATTTTCATATTTTGCCAAATTAATGTAAATGTTTGATGTTAAACTTTGATTCTGAAAATAAATGACCGCATTCATTTTGATGGGTCAAAGATAATAACGTCTCTCGTTACATTTCTGTTAAATTCAATGCACGACATTTACACAGTCAGAAAGATGAGGAACTCGTACTGAAAAAGTATGAATATATATCCATATATGACATACTACATTACAAATAAGGAGCAGTGTGACCTCAAGGCGGGCCAAGACCTTGAAGCCAGAAATACTCCTTAAACTTCCTAAAGAGGAAACACGCACCCCTCCATCCCTCTGCAAACCATCAAAGAATGTCCCAAATATTAACAAAGGCCTATATCATTCCACCCTTGCCTTTTATGGCAATTTAGACATTTAATTCTGAAAAGTAACACACACAAAATGTATATGTTTGAATAGGCATAAAGGCAACTTAACACCTTATAAAACATATTTTTATATCACATGTATACAGATAATTCTTGTTTTACAAGCATTTCTCAACCCTTTCGTCATCCATGGTTGGTCAACAACATTTCTCTTTGTATAATTATTTTGCACACAATTCTTTTCATACAGAGCTCCTAAAATATTCATAAACTCATCATATGATCTGTTCACATCATCAACATACACATCTTTCCAGTTTTGTTTATGTAAATCATCTTTTAATTTGTCCATTGCTTTTTTTATGTGTTTATTGTTTTTTTCTTAATTGTAAATTCTTTTTTAATGCTTTGATCTTTTTTATAAATAGTGAAAACTGGTAAGTGATCACTTGAATCACTTGTTAAAATACCTCCTATCACATCCCCATTTGTTACATTTTGTGAAAATATTATCGATTATTGTAGCACTATGAGTTGTAATTCTTGTTGGTTTTGATATTAACAAATAAAGATTTAAACTGTACAATGAATTTGTAAATGTACTGATGTTATTTGAATCTGTTTTATTTCCCAGGTCAATATTAAAGTCTCCGCACAAAAAAATGCTTTTATTAAAACTCTTGTCCAATAGTTGTACGATTTTATCAGTGAATATTTTTTTATTTGATCCTGGAGATCGATATACACAACTTATCAATATGTTTTTATCATTCTTGTTTATTATTTCTTGTTATTATTTCCATGATATTATCAACAATTATTGACATTTCATTAATTAATTTACATTTTATTTCATTTTTAACAAATAGAGCCACTCCACCACCTCTTTTGTTGCTTCTGTTCACATGATATAATTCATATCCTTCCATGTGAACATTAGTTGTGTTTTCATCGTTGAGCCATGTCTCTGACAGTGCTATTATTGTAAAGGTTCTGTTAGCTGTTTTAAATAATCTGTTATTTTGGATATATTTGCATTTATACTTCTACTATTAAAGTGAATAATAGAGAGACTTCCATTTGTTATATTGATGTCATCAAATTGTTCTTCATTGTAATATTCATAGTCTTTTATTACTGGGAAAAAAATTGTATCAATCACATCTTCAACATTGTATATTTTAATCTCTAAGTCTTCGTATGTTGCCATGTTTTAATGTATTTGTTCATTTTATATTTTGTTAATTTCTTGTTTGTGAAGTTATGTCAATGATTTATCATCTGTCCCCTCCTGAGCTCATCTACATGTGAGTAGATGTAATAAATTACTTCCTGTTTAAATGCAATTCATCCTGTAGTGTTTTCAGACTTTGCCAGCAAATTAAAAGTTGAAGCTTAATCATTAAATTATTATTTTTGTGTTAGATTTATTTATAAATCCCATTTAAACACTGCTTGTACCAATTAAATTAAATAAAAAAGAACACACTTTTTCTCTATCACCATCATTAATCAGCAAATAAACAAACAAACAGCTTCATCTACCAGAGAGACTGACGTTACGTTTTCTCTCTTGAAACAGAACAATGTGTTAAATTGTAGCGACTCACCTCCAACACGAGTTGGGAGTGAGACATGTTGTATCTGCTGCTGAGCTCCTTCCTCCTCCTCGTGACTCCGACATGTTTACGTTTATCAGCGTGGTTCTCCCGTGTCGTGTCGTCAATTTTCAAAGTGGCATGCTTCTCATTTTTTATCTTTGTGAAGAGCTCCCACACTTTGGTGGACTTAGGTCGAAAAGTTTTCGCTGCGTTGGTCATTCGTAAAATTTACTTAATTTCCTTTGAAAACACCGACTCTGCTCTGCTTCCTCTTCGCTTTGTTCAACTCACGCTGCAGAGTTTTTTTTTTTTTAAACTTTATTCGGTCAGTCAGCAATGACAATGAACTGCCCGTGAACAAAAAAAAACCGGCTCTGCAGCGCCGTGAAAGATGCTTAATCGCGCAACACAACGAATCGATAATGAAATTCGTTGCCAACACTTTTAATCATCGATTTTTATCGATTTGTTGTTGCAGCCCTAGAATTTTTAATTTTTATTTTATAGATCAGTTAAAATAAGCTTACCATGCTCTGTTCAGCAAAATAAGCTACACAATATCACTCACTGCTTCGGCTATGCTGAAAGTGAAAGTTAAAGTGAACGGCCATGACTTGAAAGTAATCCTCATGCACCCTCTGCTGGATGCATTGTACAATTACACCTTTTGCAATGAAGGACACGGCTTGTTCCCAGTGTTTATACTGGTGCATAATGGAACAATTATCACTGATAACGATATGCTCCCAAAGTCCTATTTTGGCCTAAAATATCGGCCCTACTGGTATATCGGTCAGGCTCTAGTTTGGAGACAGTGACAATGATGAAAAGACAGTAGAAAGAACTGGAAGTGGCAGAATTTAATATGTTTATGTTCTCCTTAGAAGTGACAAGGATGGATGAGATTAGGATTGAGCTCATCAGAGGTACAGCACAGGTTGAACAACTGGGAGATAAAGTTAAAGAGGCCAGACTGAGATGGTATGGAGATGTCCAGAGGAAGGATGTGGGTATCTTGGTAGAAGGATGTTAGAAATGCAGCTGCCAGGAAAAAGACAAAGAGGAAGGACAAAGAGGAGATCTATGGATTCAGTTGGAGAGGACATAGAGGTAGTTGGAGTGAGGACAGGACAGTGAGATGGAGAAGGATGACTTGCTGTGGTGACCCCTGAAGAGGGAACAGCTGATAGATGAATAAAATGCTGGACTCATTTTAGAGTTTTGATAATTTTGAAAACTAGTTTTTTTTCTGAGATAATTTTCAGTTTTATCTGTATTAATTTGTTTTTCTGTCACTTTATACTTTTCAGAACCCCCACAGGAACATCTAGCTGAGGAGGACAACCTTTGGAACAGCCAACAACTCTATGACCACAAAAGAAAATCTAGTTTGGACCAGGAAGTCCAGACTAGAGTCTTACAACAGAACAGCAAAGAACAGGTGAAACGAGAACCTCCACAGGTTAATGAATACCATGAGGAACCAGAACCTCTACAAATCAAAGAGGAGCAAGACTTTTTCAGCATTCAGGACGAGGAGCAGCTTGTTCTAAAGGAAGAAACTGATGTTCTCATTATTAATTTTGATGAATGTGACAGCATCAAATCAGGACCAACCAGCACCCAGCTCCTCTCTCATAGCTCTGCATCATCACCATTAAGAGAAGAATCAAGTTTGGACACAGATGAAACAACACCATATGTTTGCAACACTTGTGGAAAAAGATTCTCCGACTTAACGTCAGTAAACTTTCACCAAAAAACTCACGAGGAGGAAAAGCCGTTTTCTTGTGAGACGTGCTTGAAAAGTTTTAATCGACGTGGCACCTTGTTGCGCCACATGATAACCCACACAGGTGAGAGACCATATTCCTGTCAGATCTGTGGAGACAAATTTGGACTGAATAGTCATTTGTTGCGTCACATGAGAACTCACACAGGTGAGAAACCGTTTACTTGTGAAATTTGTCACAAAAGTTTTACTCAGAGTAACAGTTTGACTTATCATATGAGAATTCACACAGGTGAGAGACCACATTCTTGCAAAGAATGTGGAAAATGTTTTATTCAAACAGGGGCTTTAAGGACTCATATGAGGACTCACACCAACGAGAAGCCGTATTCCTGCAATGTGTGTGGTAAAAGTTTAAGATCCAGCACTAGTCTGCTGTATCACATGAGAACACACACAGGTGAAAAACCTTATTCTTGTAAAATCTGTGCTAAAAGATTTAGTCAGAGTAATCATTTGACTGGCCATATGAGAATTCATACAGGTGAAAAGCCATATAATTGTGAAGAATGTGGAAAGGGTTTTGTTTCACCTGGTTCTTTGAACACTCACGTTGCGACTCACAGGGGTGAGAATCCATTTTGTTGCAACAGATGTGGAAAAAGTTTAGGTTCCAGTACCAGCCTTCTGTATCACATGAGAACTCACACGGGTGAAAGACCTTATTCCTGTAAAATCTGTGCAAAAAGATTCAGTCAAAGCAGCCACTTGTTCTCACACATGAAAAGTTCCCACAGGTGAGAAATCCCGAAAGCTGATGACGTGTTGTCTTTGAATGTGAGTTTATAATGTTGCAGTCTGTGGATTGAAAACAAACTAAAATTTCTCAGAATTTTTCTTCCAAGCCTCACACTTACAAGTGCCTATAAACTGTCTAATAAACTTTTAGCATGTGTTTAATTCTATATTTTATCTGATAATGTCTGTATAAAATATTAAATGTTTTCAAATCCAAATACATAGAGCAAAATTAATTCAACCTTTATTCATACAGATTAAACCCATTGAGCCTCGGGGACTCATTTACAAGAGAGATCTGATTTTAACAAAGATTGATGACAACAGTAAACAACAAAGACAATAATAGACAATGATAAAGGATGTGTACAAATTTAGATTTTTTTTTTTAACAAGTGGGGAAAAAAAGGTAGTTCAAAAGAAAATGTTACAAAAAAAGAGCTAGAATGTAGGGCTGTGTAGAAAACTAAAAACAAGAACATCTGCATTGGTTTTTGCCAGGAACATAGCAGATATCCTGATGCATGCTCAATAATTCAGGTAGAAAAATAAAAAAAAAGTTAAATCTGGTCCTCTGGACATTCAAAAAACAAAACGAAGCAAAACAATAACAAAAATGTAGAAACGTTTTGTCTTTCATCTGAAAGACTTCCTCAGTCTGAGGTGCTGTATTCAGCTCAGTCTCTTAAATAGCACCTTCTCAGAGTGGATCAACCAGTTTGCTGAAGACAACCAAAATCAGCTGCTCACCTAATCAAAGAGGACCATCAGCCTAACAATGGATCATTAGCACACTGATGGCTGCTTACTATTCACAGAGGGCTGAGTGATACTAGCAATCACAGCATTGTAAGAGGGGGACAGTTGAACACGCAGGCCTCCACCCCTGTTTAACGATGGACAATTTCTTTTCACAAAGATGGCCTCCTTTACTCTTCTCTCAAACCATCGTTCCTCTCTGTCCAGGATGTGAACATCTTCATCCCTGAACGAGTGACCGCTGGCCTGGAGATGAGTGTAGACCGCAGAGTCCTGGCCTGATGGTGTTGATCTTCTGTGCTGGGCCATCCTTTTGGCCAGTGGCTGTTTAGTTTCCCCGATGTAAGACTGATCACAGCCCCCCTGACACTGAACAGCATACACAATATTACTCTGTTTGTGCCGGGGGACTGGATCTTTGGGAAGAACCAGTCTTTGCCGTAATGTATTTTGGGGTTTAAAAGCCACTGGGACGTTGTGTTTAGAAAATTTACGTCTCAGTTTCTCTGATACTCCCTCAACATACAGAATGACCACTGGTCTGGGTCTTGGTTCCTCCTTTTCACCTGATGGCTGACTGGAGTCCTGTTTGGGTTTCTTTTCCGCATTCAGGAAGGCCCAGCTAGGATATCCACATTGCTCTAGAGCCTGTCTTGTGTGGAATTTCTCCTTCTGCCTGGCTCCTGAGTTAGTGGGGACGCTGTCTGCTCTGTGGTACAGAGTCCTGATGACTCCTAACTTGTGCTCCAAAGGGTGAAGGGAGTCAAACTGCAAAGGGATGAAGATGTTCACATCCTGGATAGAGAGGAACAATAGTTTGAGAGAGGCGTAAAGGAGGCCATCTTTTGCCCCTTTTGCACTGCCCCTAATAAGCCCCCAACTCTGCTCAGCCCTGCACACCCCTGCTCAGTCTGGCTCAGCTCAGCCTGGATTTGCACCTGCACTTTAGGACCGATTCTGGAGGCGTGTCCAGAATCCAAAGTCCTGCTAATGAGAGTTCTGTGATGAGTTAATCAAAGCAGTCTGCTCCTCAGATAAATAATATTAAATTATTATTTTTATATATGAATGTTTCTGTTCAGTGCCCTGACACGACTTCTGTTGTGACTTGGCGCTGTATAAATAAACTGAACTGAATTAAATCTGATGAACCAGATTCTACAAAAACATTTATATTTAAAGTGTAATTCTTGTTTTATGATTTGAACATTTGTGGGTTAGAATAAAGTTGAACCAAAGGCTGTGTCTCTTCTTCAAACAATTTTGAGGGATATATTCCGGAGAGATCCAATAATTTTGTGTCTTTTTTAATGATTTTTCAGTTGAATTAACTTTAACAGATTATTTAATAAAATCAAAGGGAAAACAGGATTTCACGATAAAGCCGGCACTGTTTATTTATTTTTAATGTTCACTGGTTAAAAAAAAAAAAATTTTTATACTTAAAATGTTAAAAAAAAAAAAAGGTTTCCACCCTCCGTCCCTCCATCCCGGTCCTTCCGCCTGCCAGGGCTCGAATCTGGCTTTTGTGAGCAAGCGAGGCCGGGGCTCGGGGTCTGGCCTCGCGGGCTTCAACGGCTCGGCAGCTCGTATGATCCTCTGCGGTGACACCGCTCGCTCAAATTTTATAGTCGGTCAACAAACACAAAAAACGCCTGGACTTCAGAATTAAACACGGCGTTGTCATTATTGTTTATAAAATCTTAAAAATAGATCTAGCCGCTGCTCCGCATCCAGAGAAATTGCAAATAACGACTCATTGAAAAGTTTCTGAGATCCAGTGACTCCTCCCCATGACCAATCAGAGTCCTGCATTCACGTTTCAGTCCGGACTCCGCTCGAATGAGCTCGCTCGGTCCCACCAGAGAAGCAGGGACGAAAAGAGGTCCTGAATCAGGCGCAAATCATCTAAAAATACTAGCTAAAGTACTGGTGCAAAAGAGTTCTTTCTGTGGCGGGCTGCCCAGAGTTGGGGCTTATTAGGGGCGGTGCAAAAGGGGCATTTGTGAAAAGAAATTGTCCATCATTAAACGGGTGGAGGCCTGCGTGTTCAACTGTCCCCCTCTTACACTGCTGTTATTGCTAGTATCACTCAGCCCTCTGTGAATAGTAAACAGCCATCAGTGTGCTAATGATTCATTGTTAGGCTGATGGTCTTTCTTGACCATGTGAGCAGCTGGTTTTGGTTGTCAGCAGCAAACTGGTTGATCCACTCTGAGAAGGTGCTATTTATAAGACTGAGCTGAATACAGCACCTCAGACTGAGGAAGTCTTTCGGATGAAAGACGAAACGTTTCTACATTTTTTTTGTTTTGCTTTGTTTTTTTTTTAAATGTCCAGAGGACCAGATTTAACTTTTTTTAGAACTTAGCTGATGTTTGAAGCCACTTAGAGAGGTCGAGATAGAGAGCTTCAGATATTTTTGCAAGATATTTCAGGAAACAGGAGTGGAGTAGGAGAAGGCCGTTTTGCCAAGTTCAGTCGGCACTGAGGGAACTGCAGGTAATAATGTTCTGAGAGCGCACGCTGTAGCTGCACTCACGCAGTGAGTTTGGGTCCGTCACCGTTAACACAAGGATCAGCTTCCCTGTATGTGTGAATTGAGGCTTTCTTCTTCTTCCAAATTCACAAGGGCCATCTAAGCCTTCCCAGATTAACTGGGTTGTTGGAAACAATGTATGTCTAACTAGGCACAGTAGCTCATCATAACTTCTTTATTAAAACATGTATGCCTACATTGAGATTACTGGGTTCCCAAAATGTTAACTGTGGATTGTATGGCTGAAATAAACTACCCAAAACAGGTTGTTTATTCAGTCCACAAAGTTAAATTTTTTGACACCAGTGGCATCAATGTAAGCATATGTGTTTTAATATAGTGGATATGAGCAAGTTAAAAATATGTTTCTAATAACAAAGTAAATTTGTGAATGCTTGGATGTCCCAGCTTTTCACCAGCCTTGAAGATAGCACTGTTTATGCATGTTTACTTGTGCAGTTTGAAATGTGTACATTTGAAAAACTAATTAATCTAAAATAAAAGTTTCTTTATGTCTAAACTTTGTTTCAGATATCCACAGTGCTCAGTTTAGATGAAAATAATTATTTTTTTGCAACCAGGAACTGATGCATATGAATGGAAGGAAAAGGGAAATCATTTGTCCAAGAAAAACTAATCACTGAGATGCATCTGGACTGTTTGTGAATCAGAAAAATGTCCTGGATATCTGGAATGTGCCTTTCGACTAGAAAGAATACAAATAAGAATCATAGTAGTCCTTCACTTATTGCGGGGGTTATGTTCCAGACACCCCCGCAATAGGTGAAAGTCCACGAAGTAGGGACGTTGTGTTGATTAGATTTTTATTGATTCATTCCAGACATGTCAAAACAATTGCACAGGGCGTATCAACATCAACACCAATATGAATCTGTGCATCCATACATACATGTAAAGTGGAGGTGCAAAGATGGCGCCGCTGTGTCTGGCACGCCGTCCACCTCTGCTGTCTTCGCTATTTGTGTTTTTGCTTTTTTTTTTTAGCATTTTTTTACCTTCAGTATGGTCTCT